ACAAACCAAACACTGGCTCTAGAGGGGGACTTTTGCATTTTTGGCAAGGTTTGCGACCGTCGTAGTTTCTCCTACATGCTCAGAAGCTTGAGCTGTATTCATATTGTTGCAATCTGCAACTTCACCTGTAGATGCCATTGAATGCTACACACTGGTCCTTTAAGTTTCATCTGAGAAAGGCTTTAATTGTATTGATCCTGTTATTTGTCTTAGCAGAGAGCAGGCTCCTCCTTCGGTTGTCTATCACTGTGAATCTCTTATTTTGATTGACTACTCCCGCTCCCATCCCTAATCTCTGGTACCATGTACTAAGGCTGGATGATCTTACTGGTTGTTTTTTTTTTTTATCAGTCTTGGATGTTGCTGCATGTTCCTGTTTTTGAGGCAGACTTTACCTCCCGATTGTGTTTTCCACTTTGGTAATCGAGTCATGTTTTGAGTCTCTGTTAAATGTGTTTTTCTGTGTATTTTTGTGTATTTATTTGTAATAGTGTTTTGTTTGTCTGCTCCTGGTGTGTTGTTTTTCCTGTCTTTTGTGTATGTTAGTAGAAGTAGTTCAAGGCCCTGGATGGATAGCCTGGACCCTGAAACCCTGTATGTGTCTCCGGAGCAGACTGGACAGCCCACACTCCCCCTCCCTAACTCGGAAGTCTCCAACTTGGCACTAGGGGGGTAAGGAGCCTTCAGCCTACTTTACTCTGTCCTCTGATGTTTGGGGAGACAACAGGCTTATAGAAAGTCTGTCAGCACCCAGTAACCCACTGCTCACACCTTACCACCATATATATATATATATATATGTCTCACACAGTCAATCAGTCAGTAGTCAATCTCAGTCTGTAGATATATTGCCTTTTAAATAATGTAGAGCAGAGTGATCCAGGTGATTTCTTTATTGTGCGTTGTATTGTTGTATGAGTGTTTTCTTTAATAATTAGAGAGGATTCTTTCAGTCATTTTAAATCTTGCCATGCGCACAGTAATGTAACTGCAAAAAATACTGTGGGACATTTAAGCAGCAAAACTCAAAACTGTAGTTTTCTCCAGAGGAGACAGAGAATTTATCGGGTGTGTGACCTTTTTGGATGTGTAGAAGAACACAGAACATTAATTAACATTAGATCCTGACCGATCCTGTCAGTGTGTCGGGAGATTTAAATAATCAATGACGTTGCTTGGCCTTGTGCACAGGGTCTCGTAATGGGGTGATGCTTCTCCCTGTTTCACCCACCCACAATCCAGCCGCTATTAATAACAATGTTAACATTCACTGTGTTTTTTTTCATTTATTTTATGCTTCAAGCATGACGCTTTGAAAATGTTAATAGTAGATGGGAAATCACCAGTTGAAGTAAGGAAACCTCCTGGAAGGGCTTAAAAATGTCCACATCAGCTTTTCAGATTTGCATCAATAGCTTTCTCATTATAAGACATTTTATTCTGAACCTCCTCCCATTTATTGCACAACCTTACATGTTTGCTCATTGGATGGACCATTTTCTTGTCTATATTATTATTAATATTATTATTATTTTTTTTATTATGTTATTTTATTCAAAACTCTTCAAGCGATTTTCATCTGGTTCTATTTATGGCTTTCACACTGTTAGCTTTGTTATTTCACAGACTTTGTTATTAGAAATATACTTACATGAGTGCATGTTGCACAATAAATAGGCACCAATGTAGGTGAAAAAAATAATAATTAAAATAGCAATAAAAAAAGGTTATGTTGCAGCGTCTAAAAAAGTCTAAAATCCAATAATATGAATTTTAAGCCTTTAGAATTGCATATCTTATATCTGCAGGTCTTAAAAATGAACACTTCTTGTATAAAGGTGCATTTTTCAGTTTCATTTTTTAATGTGTTTTTGGGAATAATTTGTATTGATCATGCTGTCACAACTACAAAAATGTTGACTTGAATAACATCTTTAATCAAACCTGTTGAAACCTGCACAACCCTTTTGTTGAGTTGAGCACACGGCTACCTGAAGGCAGGTGGATACACATACTGTAGTCCAGTGATACATACATACATACATCCCTGGAGTTGATCTCATTTCGTAGGCATGAGTGTGTATGTGCATGTGAGTTTGTGCGCACATTGTGGGGTGCACAAAGAGCAAAGCCAGTGCCATTTGACATTGGCTCCCTTCTGTTTTTACACACACAAATCGCACACAAACGAGTGCAGCCCATAGGACAACAGGGTAAACACAGCCCCCCTCAGGCCGGAACCTAATTGTTAGCCCCTGGTGTGGCTAGTCCAGGGATTAGCTACTGGCTGGGGAGTACTATTCACTCCCTCTTTCATTCCCTCTGCCCACTGGGCCTTATCACCATCAATCTGACACCCTGTTTATCTGACGCTGCAGCCAGATCTGCTGGCCTAGGAGAAATGTTCACAAAGGCCGTGGATCATCAGCACTTTGATTGTGGGACCCCAAATTGCCATTACTCTCTCTGTCCTCAGTGATCCCAGCAGCCCTCTGTCTCCATGATCTCTATGCAGTGGTTAGTCCCAGAACCTGGAAAGCCAACCTGAAGGCCTGTCACTTTGTGTCTGTCATTTGTTCTTCCATCTTAAACAAAGGTGGTTCCTCAGCCAGATTCTGTTTGCTGTATTTGTGTTCCTGTGGACGGGTTCTCCATGTGGATTGGTTTGTTGCGGGATACTGTTTTTCTCAGCCTTTGGTGCACTGTTGGCTGCCTTATTATACCCTTCGCCAGGAACTTACCAACAAGTGTACGATCTGGAGTTTACCACCACCCTCTGAGCACAGTGTCAATTTAGTTTCATCGTGTTAAAGAAGAAGAAAGATTTTGCTGTCATGGCTTCTTTTAAGCTGGATTTTCTCCCTGAGATGATGGTGGACCACTGCTCTTTGAATTCTAGTCCTGTGTAAGTAACTCCCTCTGGTCAGTTCTGTGTGTATTGTTTCCCAGGGTTGTCCTGTGTCTCTGGAAGTCAGCTATGAAGGATAGGTCTTTTGTGATTTATTATTGTAATAATCATGAGCAGCTGTGTTGCAGGGTGTCCGTACCCCTTTCTCTGTGGTTTGTTTTCTCTTTGCAGTTGTCAGTTGTCAAGTTTCAGAAGTGAATCTAATTTTTACATTCAGTATGAAATAAGTTTGAATTATTTTTGTCTTTAGTGAAAGACTTTGGTAAAGAGACAGACACCTAAACAGGCACATTGTGCGTCTAAAGTTAAATATTGAATGCATTGACATCAAAACCGTTTTTCTGTCAAATCAACACTGCTTACTCTTACTCGCATTTTGCATGGAAATAGCACTCCTACTGCACTTTCTAGCTGCCTTCTTTAAAGGTTGGGTATTGTTTTTGACAGATTCTGATTCCAGTTCAGATTAAATCTGTCTCTGATTCCTGGCATATTATTTGTGCAAGAAAGGACAAATAATTCTGTGCTTAACAGGCTCTAACAAACCGAAATGAACAATGAATGCCTCTCCCACTTCAGTCATCATAACCACATTATCACTGTTTTTCTTTCCCAGAATAGTCTTTTGAGCAACTTAACCGGAAGGACCAGTTGTCATCCCTGAATTAAGGTCACAGTAGATCAGTGTATATTGATATCAAGGTCTGTTGTCATATTTGATTTTGTTTGTATTGTGCATCCTAATACTGACCTGTCCCTGGCAGTGCTCACTTTCAGGTCTGCATTGGTTTCAAGGGCCCAATGGAAGCATTAAATATAACTGATCCTTAGACATGGGATACTTGGATAATGAAAACGTCCAAGATGTTACCGTCACTAATAACAGTAACAGGATGTTAATAAGTATCTTTATGACTAATGGTTTGGACTAATGTAAAGTAATGTAACAAAAATATTTGCCCAAAACTTTTGGTTGATGCTTTAAACTTTTGAGAGAAACTATCATTTCTCCAAACAAATCAAACATGTTTCCAATGCACCAACTGTAATGTACTGACACATCCAGAAATGTGTCACAGATATATTTTCCCATTATGTTAGTTATACAGAATAAGTATAATGCTATACATTAACAACTCATTAACGATCTTCTGCTGTACTGAAAAGCCATGAGATTAGCTAGCTTTGTGGTAAACTAGGAAACTAATTCATACTGTCAGCATTATACTTGTGGTGGAAATAAAAGAGTAACAGAGTCAGTCTATTTCAGCTGAAAGGGCAGCTGATACATCAGAGTGTATGTTGCAGGTCTGACCCGGAGGTGCCGAAACAGTCACTTTTTGTAATCTTTGAATACATTTTAAAGATCATCTTAGCCTTGAGCTCAGAAGAGGGAGAAAAATTAGTACCACAGCTGAATGTTATCTAATCTTTTGTATGTAGCAAAGCAAGTTTCTCACAAACAAATGCATCATAGAAAAGGGCATCATTGTTAAATGCATCATACAAGTGGTCCTCAGTGTTATTCGGGTCATAGGTGTACCAAGAAGATAAATACATTGGCTCATAATAAATTGCACAATAATACATGATTATAGAAAACTTGAAAAAATTATACATTTTGCTTTAACAATACTGACAAGGGAGAAAATTATATGTTCATTTAACTATCTTACTGACTGTAAAACATGTCTGCTGAGGACAAAACATGCTACAGGCCTTCAGCCTAGGTTATTCAGTTCAATTTATATAGCACCAAATCATAACAGAAGTTATCTCAGGACACTTTTCAAATCGAGCATCGAGCAGGTCTAGACTGAAACTCCTCCCAAAAAAAAATCCTAAGTCCCACCATTGACCAAGCCACAGGCCACAGTGGCAAGAAGAAAACGTCCTTTTAACCAGGCAGAAACTTCGAGCAGACCCGGCTTTGGGTTGGTTGTCATCTGCCTTCCCGACCAGTTTGGGTTACACATAAAGGTTTAATTATCAATTCAGTCATGTACTTTTATTTTGCCAATCAAATGAAAGCCCCTCCAAAACCCTTACCATGACGTACAAACTTAGACTGCTCAGTCAGGGTGGTCAGCTCGCTGTGAATGCCTTTTCAGGCAACTTCCTAACCGTGTGTCAGAGAGCTCATAAAAAGTGGACCAACAATTGCATTTGGGACCATGCAATTTGTTGGTTCCACTTTGAGAGCAGTCATGGATTACTTATTTCTCCTTTTCCAAAAGTATGTTATTACTTTACTATTTATCTCTGCCAACAGGCATTTAAGTTGCCACTACTAGTTGTATTACGTTTATCCCCACAATCAAATCCAGTTTTTCTTTGTTAAAATCAAAGTAACTTCAACTATTTCCAGCTGCTGAATTTAACCGTTTCCATCTTCCAAACTAGGTTCCTCCACGGGTTACAAAATAATCCAAGTAATGTTGTAACTAATTAATTTCCTCAGGCAGGGGATGTTTGCATGTCATAACCCCC